AAATGATTTTGCATTCAGAAATTCGGGACTTAAATATGGATTTGATGCACGAGAAAATAGTGCATATTGGATGTGAAGAAGGGAGCAAGTTGCACGTGGGGAAAAAATACGTGCCTGATTTAAATGTCACACCTGAACACTCACATCCTTTTAATTATGTTTGAAATTATGAACATTGCTCAACATCATGAAAATTAAACCTTATTTTCAATAAGCAATCCTGAAAAATATTTGGGGGTGCTTAACTTTTTTCCAGGTGTATACATTAAAAATGTACTTGAACATTATTAAATGATCCAATACAAGCTTTCTATAATAAAGGAGAGAAATAATGTAAAAAATATTTTTTTTTGTATACACTCACAAATGGTGTTTCAGAAATGATGCCTTGTAGATTCTACACAATTAACCTTTTATAGTAAATGTTAAAAATGGCACCCATCTTAAGTAAGAGAAACATAAATACAGTATCTCAAGAAACTAAAGTATGATAAGAATAAATAAGCATCCAGAATATTCAGCATCCAGAGTACCTTAACAGTAATGTGTGTTCTCTATGCTCCCCTTGACACAAAACAAAATATTACAATTTTTCTGTATCTTTCATTATCATTATATATCAATGTACAACAAAATTATTTTCATTACAGTAACTATAATTGATGTAGATTAAAGAAACTGTCTAGTCTATATTACCAATGACAAGGTCTGCATCTTTGCACTTATTTCCTGATCTGTCACAGCTGGCAGTACTCTAACATCTTTATAATACCTCATGACTACCTTCCTGTAAGCTGGAATGTCTCGAGCAAACAGAAGTTTATTGGAAGGAGAGTCCTAATGATGAAAAAAAAATCATCATATTTTCATTAAGAATTGGAAATCTCATTATTTCTGTAGTTCTTATGTTTACATAGATTGAAAATAAAATAAAAACCATTGTTTTATTAATACTGAATCATTGTATTCCTTTCCTAAATCTTTGGTTTCTTAAATTTCTCTGGACATACTTTTGTATGTAGTGCTCTGTCCTATGAAGATGAAATGAAAGTTAAACATGTTCAAGTTCCACCCAATTTCATAATTTAGGAGTTTAAAAAATGCCTAAGAAGTTAGTTATTAACTATTTCATTACCTAGGAAAAGAATAGAACTTTTCTAAAGCAACTTACACTTTAAAACAGCCACAGGGACTGATATGAAGAAAAAACTTGACAATACTTCTTATTTGACTCAGTAATTCTATTTTTGAAATAACTGTTTTATCTACTAAAGACTAATATTGTGATGACCTCAAATTTGACCCCACCTTCCCAAGTCTATGTTCTGATGTAGAACAAGCATCCATTAGAGTCTGAGCAACCACCGATAGACACGAATCCAACAGTGGAGTTTTGTACACGTCCAATACAAAATCTGGATTCTTCACAAAATTTACCCAGAATCTAAGAGGAAGACTAAGGGGAAAAAGAAATATAAATTATATTCATAATGAAATGAACTGGAATAACTAAAAAAAAATAAAGGTTAAAACCAGACTAGAATTAGTAATGTTATTTCAAATAAAATATTACTTTTTTTTTATGTAAATAATGCTAAGTGTTCAAGACTAGTAATTATTTCTTGTAATTATATCTTCTTACTGGGAATAGAGTATCAACAATAAGCTAAGAATCTTCATCATGTTGGCAGTGCTTATCTAAGAATCATTAATTTGTTTTTATACTAACTATAATATAAAACATGCCACTAACCTAAAGAGGGGAGATATTACCTATTACTTTTCCATGAATGAGCAACTTCAGGGTCTGTGATATTGTGCTTAGAAGCTCCTTCATCCAACAGATCAAACAACCATTTGACTGCTGGTGGAATATCTTCTGTAACAGTCAGTACTGTAGCCAGGAAATCATCAACAAAAGTTTGGACAGTACCCTACACAAGAAGCATTTAACAATTAAATATAAAAAAAACAGATTACCAACAAGTTTTTAGCAAATTGATTAAATAATAGTGTTAAACAGGTAATAAACTTTCAGAGGCATGGATTGCATACTTTGCTGTAGTATTATTTTACATATGCATCCATTTTTTTTAAGGATTTAATCCAGAAGAAACACTAATGTGTAACATTATATTATTTCATTAGATTTCAGGTTTATAATAATATTTATTATATAAACATTTAATATATATATATATTAAAATAAAAAATTTATAACTTTTGCATGTCAAGAACTCGCTTCTATGAAGCTCTCCCTCCAAGAAAACATTTGTTATAATTTTAATGAAATATGAAAGATGCTAAGTGTTAAAAAAAGGAGCTAAAAATATAAAGACTTTAATTTGAATAAACTAAAATTATATTTTTACATTGTAAATGGAGAATTTGAATCTGTAACTATGTAGAAGATTCTGTATTCCATACTTTTGTAGAAAGCAGTCTGGTGAGAAAGATTTCAGGAATAGCCTTGTGACAGTGATCTTTCTGGCTCCCATGATGATCATCGACAGGCATGACTAAGTGCCAATATCGAACACCATGTTCAACATCACAGTTTGAAATAAATGGTGAAGTTGAATTAAGTGATGTGTTTCCTGTACCTGTATTAAAAGTAATAAAAAAGCCAGTTAAACAAACTGTACAAGTTTTAATTACATAAGAAAGAATAACTTAAAAGATAAGATTTTTTGAATACATATAGTTTTTACTCACTCACACAAATGGTGTTTCAGAAATGATGCCTTGTAGATTCTAGACAATCTATATAATGTTTGTGTTAAAAAATGGCACCCAGCTTGAGTTAGAGAAACATAAATACAGTATCGCAAGAAACTAAAGTATAATAAAAACACATTGGCATTTAATGTTTTAATGTTGTTTTTAAAGCCAGGGGTTCCTAAACACAACCCCCCCCCCAGAACATTCAGTATCCTGAGTAATTTAACAGTATTGTGTATTTTCTATTGCCGCACTATTCTGGCCCATGCTTTAAATCACACACACACACAGATTCTCATACTAGAAGATAAATGTATTTATTTCTAAGTTAGCCTCTATAAGACAAGCATAAGGAAATGCACTTTTCATAGAGTGTGAATACAGCTCCATGAAGATATAAATTAATAGACTGCAACATCTGTAATAGTTTTAAGTATTGTAACCAACCCCTATAACATTTTGGAGTGATTCCTTTTCTCATAAATATGTTGAATCCTGCATTTAGCAATTACTGTTTCAGGTACACATTGTTCTACAAAGTTTTCTTTCTTTCAGTTCCAGCACAATTAAGTTTTATTTCATTATTCCATTCAAATCAATAATAAACTAGTTATATGTTATGCAAACCATACTTTTTTTTCTTTTATGTATCAGGTTTTCCACTTGTTTTAGCACTTATAGCTAGTTTGACTTACATTATTTTGAATTTTATTTAATCATTGTAGGGAATAATCAAACAAAATCCATGTTTAGTTTAGCTATACTAAGTTGAAGCACAGAAAACAGTAAAAAAAGAAAAACCTTTGACTAACCCTTACAGTTCGAACTAAGACTGTCATTCTGCCTGCTGACCAGGCTCATTACAGCAGACTCTGTCACGCCATAGTGTCGAAGTGTGTTGATCCTTCTCCAACCACTGATTGTCTTAGTGGTCAAGTCATCATCAGCTAATGTTAGCTGACCACCTCTTCCAGACTTCCACTCTGGCATATACAGAACTATGTGGAGCAAACATATAAGATTTCCAGTTAAGTTGTTTAAACAAAGTCATTACAAACATTGCAATCCTATGTGAAATCTTTAAAAAAAAAATTAGCTTGAATAACATGACAAAAATACAGTGCAACAGAAGTAACTATGTGAACATCTTAAAGTTCACTACAATTGTTTTTTCCAACCTTATAAATAGTACTGTGTCTCTTTCAGTGTTACCAGCAAAACAACATCTGTATACAATTTCATATTTACTTACCTAAATCAACATCATTTACAGACGGACGTAGTGAAAATGGTGTATTTTTGTACAAGGCATCTAAAACTTTAAATTTTACTTGGCTAATGGTATCACAGTCATTGACTCGGAGCTGTAGCTTCTCATCCTGATCATCTTGAATGATGTGAATAGTCTATATATAAAATACGGGTCATATATGTAATGTATTTCACAAAAAGTATATTCTAAAATCACAGATCAACCATCAAAATAATCAAATATTTAAGTTTAAAAAGCATCTACTAAGCCAATAACACTAATATTCTTCCACAAACTGAATTTAATAAGTAGAAAAGTTTTAATATTTCATGAACCAGGGACAGGTGTACAAAATCATAAGAACAAATATGAAACTTCGAGAAGTTTAACATTTACCATCTATATACATAATACACTTGTGTTTGTTGTCCGGAACTTTTCTCAGAAATTTCTTTATCAAACGCTACAAATATCATGTCATTAGAAAGGCCTTTCTCCAAAGAGTCCAGATTGCATATTGACTTTTCCTTTCAGGATCACTTTACCTATTTTATGCTTTGTTAAACTTTTTAATGCAACCAGTATGCTACATGATAGCAAAATGTTATTGTTATCATATGACGACTGGCTTCAATTTCAACTTTAGTTTTTTTATTTGTAAAGTATTTCACACAAACAACACTTAACCTCCATGTAATTTCCGAAAAAAAATGAGCATTATACTAAATACAATTGCTATGGGCTTTTTTTTTTTATTTAATTCGGTCTAAAATACACATGCACAGTTTGTTCAAACCATACAGTTTGTTCAAACCATACAGTTTGTGAACATGCATTCATACACTTCTATATATTCAGTTAAGTTTGCCTTCGTTACAACTTTACATTTACTTTACTTATAATAACTTAACTTCGGTTTGTTTCATAGACTGCTATAAACAGTTTTTAGCTACTTTTTTGTTGTTGTTAGTATAGGTTTTATTCTTTGTTTTTGTGATTTTTTGTTTCAATTCATAAAACCATGTCATACACATTTGTTTCAGGAATCAAAGAATATATATATATACAATAATCAGTCTAATATTACTGTGCTACACAACTCAATACACGAATAAAACCATACATGGAAGGTTTTATAAATAAAGCTATTATTTACTGTAGTTAATACACTGCTTTATTACAAAAGGAAATATCAGATCATAAAATACATATACACATACTGCACTACTACATTAATATAAACTAAAGAAAAAGCAATATTAACAAATCTATTATTTACAATATCTTTTAGTTAGAAATGAAACATTCAGGAAAAATAATTATAATGGCAGGCCTGTTACTCACCACAGTAGAATACTCTATTTGTTCTCTCAGCAAACGTTCCTCAGAGAGTGAATACCTAGCATCATGAGTAAAGGCATCTACAGGTCCCTTCTCTACCTGGTACTTCACAGCACAAAATAGTAGAAATAATGCACTCCCTGCCCGATCCTGCAGGAGAAGGCTCACATTTTAGATCCAGCACTGTGGCATCAGCTTATACTTGATATCTACTAAACAATGTTTCTTTAATTTCTATCTGAGTGAGCTGATATATTTCAAAGTTTTGTATCTTTTAAAAGATATTCCTTCAACGATTTCAATTCAGACTTAGGTTCATCTAGAGCCTTGACATGGTAATACTTATAACCTTTATGTTGAATACAATATACTTTATGAACTGTAATGACTTGCACAATGCTCAAGGTTGTACTGTTTACATATATGACATTATATCTTAACTGTGCATGATACTATTGACCATATTGCATACTTACATTATATACCTTAACTTCATATACTCTCAATGTGCAACATATATAAATGAAAAATATTACACTGCTTGTCAAGTATAGTATACTTTGTCACCACATATGTTGTATACTGTTTATTTATCAGTAATTAACAAAACAGAGTAAAAATTACTTTCAGAAAAAAAGGAATAGTCAGAAACAGATAAGCAACCACTTATATTCAGTTCTTGATTACTTAATGTTTTAGACAATGATATTTAATGAGAATAACAAGTGTTTGAAACTTCTCAATATTGACTTTTTGTTTTTTATCTAAAACTAAGCACTGTATAAAGACTGAGATCTCAAAATCATTTAAGTAACTCAACAGACAACAGTTATTAATTTTATAAAACAAATTTCAGTATGCAAGAACGTTACAGAAATTTAAATTTAAGGAACAGCAAAAAAAGTCTTACCTTTAGATAATCATACATGTTGAGTGCCATCCAATTGGTCAACATCTTTTCTACTACCGATTCAGTTCTATAAGATAACCATCAAGTTAGTAACTGTATATATAAAGTATAATTCCTACTTAAAAAATAAAAACTATTATTAATTAAGCAGATGTGCAATTTGACAAATTTTTTGAGTGGCAAATTGCATACCAAGCTCTGCCCTTGGTGAAAGCCCAATAGATCTAGTGAAATACTACAAGTAAAAGTGAACTCTCAGTTCATAATGGGCTTTCTTTTTGAGGCTCTTGTAATACACTTTAAATGTTTTATCTAAAACGTTTTGTAGGTTATTTTAAGGAGACTGCACTCTTCCATCTTCTATCTCTTGAAAACACAAAAAAACATGCACAAATTTGCTAAAAATAAGCAAAATATGTGAGGATTTTCAGTAGCATTCATTCTCCAAGAAAAGTGTTGTAGGACAGTGGAAGTAAGGAGGTGTAGGCAGTCAAGTCGAGAAACTTGGCAGAAATGGCAAAGCAGTGACATCACTTTTTGTTCAAAGCAGCCCATTTCACAGTGGAGATATAGTCAAGATTCCTACTGTCTGAATTTGGTACATTTAATGCACTAAATTTAATAATAATTTTGAATTTTGCTTATACAGAAAACTATATTCTACATCAAGAAGCAAGAAATATCCTAAAAATATTTTAATTATGAAATACTTCTCTAATTCAGGCTTAAGCGCTTATTTTAATTGTTGTATTAACCTGAAGTTAAATGGTAAGAATCAGAAAAAGAGTGGGAAACTTAAATAGCAGCAATATCTTTTTCCTCCACATTGTAGCTGGATATTTTATTATTGTACATTTTGGTTATTATGGGAAACAAGCCAAAATGCTGAAAATTTTACTTACCATCTTTGACTTTGATAAAATTTTGTTATGGTTTGAGTTTGTTTCAAACTCAACTATTTACAATAGTTACTGCAGAAATGATACAGGGGTTATTCTATAAAATATTTTTATTTTTCATTATATGGGAAATTTTACCATGAATTTGGTTTGCTTTTAAACTATTAAGTTAGCATGCCAAGTTTGGTCTGGAATGGTCTACTCATTTAGGAGGAGATGAGTCCACAGACAGACAGAAAGTTTTCCTTGATATTGAATATTTACCACACCGGTACAGCTTAATATGTATAGTGCATATGTGAAGAATGCCTGTACCCCAATTTTGGATAATTCAAATGAAACTTCAATAAGTTGTAATTCAAATTTTTAATAGACTAAGGTAAATGGAAAGTAAAGCATGCTCATATAGAAAAATGTATTAAAATATTGTTTTGGAATTTTTTTGCTGTTAAAGCTAAAATCTTAATAGCTCATTGATACTGTATTCTTTCAGTTCATCTTTTATTTTATTTACAGCTTTTATTTTGTTTACATAAGAAATAAAATGAAAGCAAGAAACCTTAGACTTACCTTCGTAACATCAACTGAGGATGTTTGGTGTTAACTGACCGCTCAATCAGTTGCATTAGAAGAGTTTTAAGAACCCTAGAAAAGTAAATTACAACATCTGAGCTATAACATGAAATTCCAGACAATCACTAATCTCAAATCTAACTTTTAGTAGTTATCGTAAAATATAAACTGCTTCAAAAAGTGACTTAGATTTTTGTATTTCAAATCATATTTGATTCCTGACAGTTGCTTATAATATAGTTTGATTAATATTGAACAAAATACCAAACAAAATGTTCTGTGAGATACTTACTCTGTGGCATACTCCATCTTTTCTAAAAAAATAATCATCAACAATGAAGCAACGTTGACTCTGAAAATAATAAAGACAAACTGAATCATACTAATTGTATAAATAGCTTGTTCTAATAAAACATTTCTTTAGGATATTCATTCAAAGCTATGGTCCTGACTTACAATAGGATTTATAATGTACCCATAGCGTTAATTTTTTTTCTTTTTCGTGGCAATGAACCATGGACCCTCAGATTCACAGTCAGGCAAGCTAACCAATAGGCCATGCCTAGCCCCAAAAATACACATTTTATTTAAATTATATGGGTAAAAAAGTGTTAATTTGTACCTTCACTAGATAACCATCAATTGTGTTTATAAATAAGAAAAAAAAGTTAAAACAAGGTTACTTCATTAATGATCATAATTCTAACACAGTAATAAAAGCAAATTGTAGCAAAAAATTAATTTGAGTGCAGTGTCCTGCTCATAATGTTTTAGTGATATATGTTTCTTGAACATTTTGTGAATACTTTCACTTACCTATCTCTTATACTGAATGTTTTCTGTCCTTCCAGAGTATTAATAAACGTGATGAGAAATCCTTTGGTGTTTAGTAGCTGTTGAAACTGACTCATTGCAATTTCATAATTACTATACAATCCATTATTTTTTGTCTGCAACAAAAACAGTTCCATTAAAAAAACCTCAAACACCATTTCATGGCAAACATCAAACAATTTTATTCATTGCATATAGCCATGATACCTTGTACAAGTGAAAAGAGATGGCAGCAAAATAGTCATCCATAAATGGTCATAATGTTTTTAGACTTGTCAAGATTTCACTTGTCTTTCAGAAATATTCATTTGCTCAGTGATGATTTCTGAAAAGTAGCTAAAAACTTGCATCAAAAAACTCAAAAAAACTGTAGGTGGAATGTCATTTATAATTTGTATTATTTTGATCTTCAATTCAATAACTTAGCCCTTCAGAGGCTCAGTGGTAAGTTTGCAGACTTACAACTTTAAAATTCAAGTTACAATATTGACGGTGGGCAGAGCACAGATTGCCCATTGTGTAGCTTTGTTATTAATAACAGCCAAACGAAATCAACAAATTAAAACAGATGTGTATGTTTTTCAGAATAGGATCTACAATCCCAGATGTATTTATATCCATATATTAACTTTGTCATTTTTGTGTTAAGAATTTTATTTTTTCATAAATTGAAAATAGTTCATATTTTGTCATTTTGGTCCTTGATGAAGAAACTATTGGACTTCTGAAACAATAACACTAACCTTCCTATCCTGTAGCAAAGGATGATCATAAACACCAGGAAAAAACACTTTCATCACAAATGATTTGTGGTCAAGTATAGGGACACCTGAAGCTTGCAAATAGTTGGTCAAATCCGTCATATCTGTCTGAAGCTCTGCAAAAGCTGTGTAAAAATTTACAAATTAATCAAATTAAGTATTTTAGTTAAGAGTTTTTTATAAATGTTTTCAATGTTTTAGTCACTAACAACACATCAAGTTTTTAGACCTAACATTTATCTACCTTTTCAATGTAGGTAATAAAAATTGTCCCAGTAATTAGTTGTGGGAAATGTTTTGGAAAGTCTGATAAAAGATACTTTGCAAAGTCATTTAACAAAGTTTATAATTTTATTGGATAGTCAACATGGTTTCACTAAAGGAAAATCTTGCATTACAAATCTTTTGATATTCTTTGAAAAGTTTACTGCTTATGTAGATGAGAGTAAGAGAGTATATTGGGTGTATCTGGATTTTCAGAAAGTATTTGACAAGGTGACACATAAAAGGCTTGTAAAAACAAAATATCTATATAGGTTGGGGGTTAAGTTAGCTAACTGGATAGAAGAGTAGCTGGATGGAAGAAAGCAGAGGGTTGTTATAAATGCAGTTCAGTCAAACTGGATTAATGTCACACGTGGGGTACCTCAGGACTCAGTCTTAAGATCTTTGCTCTTTTTGATTTACATCAATGACATAGATGAAGGAATGGTTAATAAATTACTTACACTTGCTGATGATATTAAGGCCTTAGGTGCTGCTAGCTGTGAAGTTGACGCTGCTGCTTTACAAAATATTTTAGATTATTTAGTGAGTTGAGCAAATAAATGGCAGATGGGTTTTCATTATAATAGATGCAAGATAATGCATTTGGGTTATCATAATTTGAATTATAAGTATATAATATTGGATGGGAATAACCTTACCAGTGTCAAGAAAAAACGGATCATGGTGTAATGGTTGATCAGTCTTTTAAGCCAACCAAGCAGTGTGCTATTGCTAGTGGTAGGACAAATAGGATTTTAGGATGTATCTACAGAAATATTGAATACAAGTCTAAAGAGGTTATAATTTCATTTTATAGATCACTGGTTAGGCCACATTTCAAGTATCGTGTTCAGTCTTGGGCTCCTTACCTTAAGAAGGACATTGAATTGTTGGAAAGAATTCAGAGGAGGGTTACTAGAATGATGCCTGGGATGGAGGGTTTGTCATACGAGGAGAAATTAAGATTTTTGAAATTGTTTTCTCTTGAGAAAGGAAGAGTTAGAGGGGATCTGATTGAGGTATTTAAAACTGTAAAGGAAATTGACAGTATTGGTGCATCATATTTTTTTTATACTTAACAGCGAAAATAGTAGGACACACAAATATACATTTTAGCAAGGTAAAAGTCATCTTCAGCTAAGAAAGTTTTATTTTTCTAAGAGGGTAGTTGGCTTCTGGAATGGGTTGCCTTTGGATGTTGTGAGTTGAGTGGATTTAAGAGAAAGATTGATAACTATATGAATAATAAGGGTTGGCTTTAAGTTTTTTTTAATTTATAATAGTTTAGTTTAGAGGGTGTGATAGCCAAGATGGACCAATAGGTCCCTTGTTGTCCCTAAACATTATGTGTCAAGTTTTTATAGGACTGCAGATTCTTTACAGTAGGTGGCTGAGTTTTGTTGGAGATAAATGTCAAAAATAAATGGACAGCACACAATCCACTTGCTTTAAATATATATATATATTCAAAATAAATCAAACATATGAATGTATATACATTATTGGTTATCACAGTTGTATCCAGAGCTTTATATAATTGTCTTCTTTTCATAAAAGTCCACACAGGCAGGTTCAATTACTTTCGAACACCCTTTGACAAGACAAATTCTTCTTCTTTATCTCTGTTTTTACAACACCACTGTGAAACTCACTTTACATATTGCCCATTTCGGCTAAACTTACAATCACGCAGTCTAACTTCACTTTCACTAACTTACTTTAACTTCTTTACAAATCACCTGTCATGGTTAAACTGACAATCAGTCAGTCTAGATCTGTCTAATTATCTCTCACTTAACTTACTTTCTTAACTTTCTCTCTGTATCTGCACTAAAATATGTGACAGAAAAAATCCAGAAATATTTAGCCCTCTAGTGACAACAGTATTACACCCGAAGAGAAAAACTTAGAAGCTTTGAGTAAGATGATGTCTACAATATTACAAAAGCCTAGAACAACAATTAAACTGCATATACAAAGTACAACTCGTACAGAGTTATGTTACAAAGCTTGTCATAACTATCACTTTTAAAATAATTAACTTTAAACACTCTTGTTATGAGAACTAAATGAATATTATATGTTAAATTACTAAATAATAACTCTTAAACTAAACACTCTTGTGTATCCAGCATTATGTTATGTTAATAATCTACTAAGGGTTTCAAAAACCAGTCTTTTCTCAGATGACTCTACACAAAAAATGTAATGAATATTTACTCTTGATACTCATTTCCATATCAAACTGCACTTGTAAAATAATAGCCTGTCTTATTTTGCAAAAGAAATGTCAAACTTTATGCAGAGCAGTTGCTCCAAATGTCGCTGTTAAATAAAATAACAGTTATTGTTTCTTTAGTGTACCAAGACATTCCTACATCAAACAACTTATGATTGGTTTCAAGGTAAATTTAGAAATTAAAGTTATTAATATTTTAAGTTTTTTTAAGCAATAGAATAAACCTTAAAGAAAATATTAATACACATAAATATTACTTATGGAAAAAAAAGCTGTTCTCAAATAATATTCTTATAATGAACTAAATCACATTAATGTTTTATTTATTTTAAAATGATATGCATTATAACTAAGTACTAAATTATCCTTGTTATTAATTGTGATTCAAAATTCACATTAGATAATTATTTCTACTTAATAAACTATTTTTCATTTTAGAATTGGCTATTGATTATTATGAAATAGTGATGAGTAAGGCTTGTTAATAACACAAACTCGCATCTTCAAGGATTCTTAGTAGATACACCAAGAGCAGGAGGTAAAAAATATTTCTGTTCATTGATGAGGTATTAATAACAATTTCAAATGGATAAAAACTAATTTTTTAAAACACTTTGTAGGATAAGTGTACCTCAGCAAGTTTTAGTTCATTATTATTACCTACCCTGTTTACATTCAGATCGTACACTGTTCTCTAATGTGTCCATCTGAAGCTGAATCCTTTTATACTCTCGCTCTGCCTGAGAGCTCTTATGCCTTAAAACAGCCAGAATGACAAGACTAAAGAGCATAAGAAGAGCTCCACCAGAAGCTATTCCCCAAATGGCTTCAGGAGGAAATTTGTATGTCTTCATCACCTCATATCGAAGGTAACCAATCTCATAACGTAGATTTAGACCCACACGCACCTATAAAAGCACATTCATACAAACATTATTTCTAGAAATAAAAATATTACCATAAGAGAATGAAAAATTCCATAAAAATTTCCACATTTAAGTACAAAATACATTGAATATACACTTCTTCATTACATGAAAAATTAGGATGTTTTTTGACAAATTAATCAATGTTCATAATCATCTCATATTTCTTGAAAAATCATCCTAAATAATTCATCAATATTAAAGGTCTGAGGATATGGGGTTTCACAAAAAAAACTTAATTATCATCACAAGTAATTTAGTAGATTTTATTTAATGAAAGAATTATCCAAATAATATCACTCACATATTAGTTTGGAAATATTGTTAGATAAATCAATTAATTTTACTACAAGTAATAAGACATACATGATTTGTTTGACCATTTAGAATGTTTTTCAGCATACCATATTTACTTATAAACTCCAAAGTTTTTGTTAACATTACAAGTACATGTATGGTCAAAAAATGTATTTATTTTATGAAGGACCTAACCCTTCTTAAACTTGTACTTCTAAAGAACATTTGGAAGTGTATGTTGAAATATTACTTTACTCATAATAAATGAGTAAAGTAATTTACTCATATACAATTAAAATCATTGATACTAAAATAATGCATCGTATTTAAAAAAGTAAAATGTCATTCACTGAGCAGTACTTACAATTATTTTGTGAAAATCTGTGTATATATATTTGGTAATTTTTGTGTAATAAAACATAGGCCATGTTTAAAACAAACCTTTTAATAGTTTTGTTATGATAAATTTTAATAAATAATATTTCTGTGTTATTTAATAGCTCCTCATACAAGTTTGTATTGAATCACATGTTCACCTGTTTTAGTTAAGCCAAAATTAGGTCAGAAATCAATATTATGCACTATTAATGAAAGAGTTTTTACCAGAATCATATTGGTAGTTTGAAAATTAATTTATTTTATTGTAGGAATTGGATAAATAGTAGTTTGGGCATATATATCAGATATCTGGCTCCTGATATCCAATCAATTCAGTTATTTTTAAATTTGATAATATATGTGCAAATTCTCTGTAGACATAAGATATCACTTTATTATAGTACAGTATTAAACTAGCCACTTCATTTGAAAATTTAATAAGGATGCACATTGGAATGTACCATTCTGCATGAGTAATTGACCAATGAACAAGGCCCTTTAAGGGAATGTGGAAAGTGTAGGCATGAGACAGTGCTTTACATCCCCGGTTCTCTGCTGTGACTGTTGTTTTGATTGTACATCCATTTCTTAGCTACTGTGGTCATTGGTGCTTTACAATGACAACACAGTAGGTGGGTTTGATGTTTATTCTGATTTTTGATGTACAACAGGCTTGTGCATTTTACTAAATGCTTGCCACATTTCATTTTGATGTACTTAATAAATTTGGAATTATAGTCATCATTCCTTCTCCAATGCAGGGTTGATATATTAGACTTACTCCATGCACATTTGGTTAATTGTATTACTAAAGTGTTTGTATTCCAGATATGCCTATGAATTGATGCCATCAGTCTGACTCAGAATCTGATTAATCAAAGGGCAAGGGGATATGTTTATGTGAAGAATAAAAATATTTTTTTTGTCCATCATACAATTTGCATAGTGCATTTGCATAACTGATAGAATCTCCAAAATGCATAACTATAGTTTTCTTTTCAGTATCCCTGTATATTGTATCTGATATTTACTCTCCTCTACCACAAGCTGTCACTAAATGTAGAATAAAATGAATAATTGATAACTCTGACATCAAATACATAATACTACATTGAATGGCACTCTGTAAAAGGTTGTGGCATGTGCATTTTGACCCTAATTATTGCAAATAGGATTAAACTACATAATGACTATCTGTAGTATGACTATTACGTCTACCAAGGTTCCCACTCTGTAATAGCGTGAAAAGTGCTTCTGTGTTTAGAAGATAATAAAAACATCAATGATGCAAGTGCAAGCAGTATCATGGCCATGTAAGATTGTGAGATAGTCCATTGATGGAAATGCTTATTCATTGCAAAATCAATCTCTGATCATATTTTATCAAATAGTGAAATATCCTATCAGATCTGATAGTTGTCCCATCCCTGGTTTACTGTGACCTCTGTTAGTGACTGCATAACTATTAGTATGTCTGTTTGATTAGATCATTGAATTGGCACCTAGTTTTAAGAAGTGCAGTAGTGTGTGGTTATCGTGATATTTCAGAGAAAGCAGTACAGATAAATATCTATTGATACCCATTGTGGATAAAACTAAATGACCTTTGTAAAGGTATTTACAACCAAAAACAATGTTAACCAGTACATGATGAAAAAGGCTAATGATTTGAATCCTACAAGACAGAAAAAAAAAAAAATTCTTACTACAACCATAGGAAGGACTGTGACTGTAGTCCTTCCAAGTTCATCTGTTCCTTGTGGCTGATCTTCAGGTGGTAGACACACTAGTTGGGTCATAGCCAGTGAAGTCAAGTTACATGGTCGAGTACCAACAGTCACACTGACCTCAGACTCTGTACTGGCTCGAAGAAGGTGCTCTCCCTGGAGACCAGCAGACGACTTGTTAATTCTCTTCATTAGTAATGGAAGTACTTTACATGATGTACAGTACATAAAATATAAAATTATCTATGAAATTTAATTTTAGTTTCCAATTGTTAACTTGTTTTACCGCAAAAGTCATTTGTTTGTTTGTTGTAAAACACAAAGCTAGCCAATGGGCTATCTGTGCTGTGCCAACCACAGGTATCAATACCCAGTTTTTAGCATTATAAGCTGAGCCACTGGGGGCACCAAAAGTCATTTCAGCATCATTATATTTAATTGACATCCAAAACAACAAAAAAGTGCATATACATGGATTTTGAAATATTGTCTAAGCTATGAAAAATTTCTATTTCACCTCAATCACCAAGGATTCTCCTTTATACAACTTGATTCCATCACCATGAAATGGAAAAAATCTTGGGTCTGGTACATATACCATGTCAGAATGAATAGCTGGAAAGTTTGCTTGAAGTTCTCGAACACTGCTGACATCATCCATAATAAAACCAATTTGGAATTTTAGTTCCTCTGCATGCATTCCAGTGTTTCTCTTACTGCTGGCTAAGAATGCACGGACAGCATCTCTACTTAAAGATGGTGAAGGACATACCATCTGGGAGTTACTGATTACATCACACACCTGAAGATTAAAGAAATATTCTAAATATAAGAGATTCATAATTGTTAGTTTCTTTAACCCAAAAACATATATATATATTTAATAGGCACCAAAAAAAAGGCAACCCACACTTTACTAAAATGCCGAGTTCTTCAACTCATTACCAAAAAATGTAAACTGAAAATAAATAAAAACTGATTAGAAGAATTTATAATTGTCAAAATAGAAATTATTAACTTTATAGTATGAGAGAAAGAGAATCAAATACAGGCCAAAGATTAAAATAAAAGCAACAAAAGTATTTTTTCACAGTAGGGTCCATATACCAACATACCAAATATTAACCAAGATAAACCCTGGCAAACTATGTGAAATTTGCATATTTGTATTTTTAACCCAATACACTAATCTAACCTAGTTTCTAATATTATTAAACATCTTTCTGATTTAATTATAGCACAATAATGTTAATGTTGCATAACACATTTACTTACAAAGACTTTCTAAAACTTTGATTATATTTATATTCATTATTTTCCATGTATTGATGTCATTCCTGGTCCCAGTGATACAGATATGCACGTTGTCCAAAACCAATGCTTCGCAATGAAGATATATTCTGACTTTAGCCAAGAAAGAGTGTTGGAATTGATAATGCAAGCATAAGAAGAAAAAGTTTCTTCTGTCAAAACAGATATATTCAAACAAACAATTAAAGATACTTGTAGAAATGGAAACGATGAATGGAGTGCAATGGTTACCATTAAACTAGAATACACTTATGATTTACATGCTGCAGATGCTACGTATCATCATCATCAATTTGGCATCAACTGTAGTTCTCAGCTCAAAAACAAATGAGAGGCCAGCATACGGATGAAGAAAAGATAGATGCTTTTTATAAAAGTTACAAAATATCTAGAAGAAAAGTAATGAAGAACAAAACTCAGTGTTTGCTCGTGTGTTGAAAGAATTAACAGTTTTTCAGTTGCAGTTGCTTTTGAATATGAAGCTTATGGGGTACAATATATAAAAAATAAGAACAAACATTTTGGACACATGATAATCTTCACAAACTTACAGGGAAGACAAGGGTGGCCACGTCCACAAACAATGATGCAGATATACTTCATTAGTATTGCAAAGATTCAAGTAAAGAGTTATAGAAACAACTGCCAAACTACTGAAAAATGACATCAAATAAATGGATAATTCATTGACAACCTATACTTCTTTTGAAGATATTTCATCCATAGATAAAACATTAGACACAGTCCCTCCTAGTTTGCAACAATTTCTTAAACTGATGGGTTATATGATAAAAATGTTATGAAACAAGCTTCACGAGGTCATACCATTATTCAAGCTATTAGACAAAGATCAATGATTCTTCCTTTGCAGTTTGGAATTGCTGCACAGCTGAATGATATGTTTGGTTCCAGGTTTTTAATAGTTTTTTTGCATAGCCTAGGATTATGTTATGGAACATTTGATGGACTGAACACATTTCACAGTCTAATGATCGACTAGGATATATATTTGAATGAATACTGACCATCCTGGTCTAAGATAGGGAGATACTTTCCATAGTGTATCTGTGAGCATGTCTGATGTACATAAATCTGGATAATTCAGTGTTATTATTTCCCTGTTTTTCACTGATGCTAGTCCTTGATTACTTTTATTGTACATGTGTAATCATCCCCATGTTCCACCAGAGTGGTTGATTGAATGCTATTACAATTGTAACATTGATTTTTCTTGCATGATCAGTGGGATACAATAGGCATGAATATTTGTAATTCATATCAGACAGATTCATATCAATCATAGGGAGAAACACTAGCATTCATAATCATCACCAGTGAACCAGAAGAGATTACCTTGAATTTAATTGTGCTTAAATTTAGTGTCCTGGATGTGGAGATGTGTTTCTTGGGGTGCATTGGTTACATAATGGCAATCTCAGGCCTAAGTGAATTAGAGGAAGTATATGAAGAAAATGCTGCAGTACATATGATGACTGGAAAAGCACTGTCCACAGCACAAAGAGGTCATTTTCTTGTTGATACAGCACTCAATATTTTACTGATCTCAGAGTACCTTCAAGTCAAAACTAAGAAGAAAGTGAAGCCACAACATAACTAGAAAAATGGAAGCAAACATATGAAAAAACAATGAAAGTAGAAACATTTGACAAGAAAGAAGAAGAAAAACTCCAAGCACTACAAAAGAAATGTGAAAAATAAAAGATAAAAAGCAGTTGAACTGGTGCACAGATATTTTGAAGATGTTAACAGGAAACTAGCAGCTTCATCTCCATACTCTAATAAAAATGCTGCCATTCACAGTTTCAGCTGGTCATCATCTGTTCACTGAAACAGTTTATCTATATCTTCAGAACATAAACACATTCAAAGATGATCATCTTGATGTTTATGAAATATTTCAGAAGGGCCTACATGTGGTAAGAAGAAGCAATCAGGACAGAGCAGGATTGTCCACTGACTTGATAACATAACAAGTCCTCGTTATAAACATAAAAACTGCTGGTGGAAGTGGTATGTCAGAACTTCAGAGATATCAAAAATCGAAGTATTGCAATGTCCTCTTATAAAAGAAAACAACAGGCAGTAACCATGACACTGAAGAGTAACATAAAGATCAATGGAGAGAATGTGGAGACAGCTCCTAATTTGTTTTTCCAAAGACTCTCTGTTCTAACAGACAAAGGTGATGCCAACAATTAAGAAAACTTGTTTAAATAAGAACTGTGTAGTTTTTCTGCTGCCATATTCGATACAATGTCACTTCCACTGCAACCATCCAAAATATCCTCAGCAGATACATTGTGGACTCATGTGAAAATGAACCATGTGAATTACCAGATGAAGTATTATATGTACTTGATGGAGGTGCATTACTTCATATAATTTCTTGGACACATGGAATGACTTATGATGCAAACTGCCAGACATATGTGAGCTATATGCTAGCTAAATGTGGAAAATGCACCAGTCCGTAATAGCTATCCTGATGCCCATCTATGTAGGTATTAATCTGAAGCAAAGAATGTGCATTTTGATAGCAACATGACTCTGAAAATGAAAAAAGAAGAATTTCTTTCCATAAAAGTAAATAATAAAATAATTCATATCAACACTGAATGAATATCTCAGACAAGTAGGATGTTGTGTTCATCGTGCAAAAGAAGATTATTGTAAAGACATCAATCAACAAGGCTGCAGACAGACCAGTAGTTGTCATTACAGATGACATAAATGTTTTGGTTTTATCACCTTACCATGCACTTTCTGTTCCATACCATAGCCTTTACATGAGACTAGAGCCAAAGGAATAAGCAAAGAAAACCAGCAGAACATGGAATATTATGGTTAAATGGGAAATTCTAGGAGAAAGTGTTGTTTGTTCATGCAGTGTTGGGGTTCAATATTACATCTTGTCTGCATGGCATAGGTAAAACAGTTGGCCTAAATAAAATAAAACATTACAATCATTTCCTCAGATATTCTCAGGTATTCACAAGTCTTCATTTGTTGGAAAAATAACAGATGCATGTGAGAAAGCATTAGTGTCAGCATAGATAATCTTCATTACAAATGGTTCTGTGAAATCTCTGCAACCTCTATTTCAACTTTGAAAACAAAATCTTTGCCTCCCACAAAATTTCATAGAAGGTGTCAGTGGACAGTAATTGGTTGCTACTATCAAGTGGGGATAGAAGCTTTCTGGTAATCTCTACTTACCTATATTGAAGGACCTTTCACCAGCACCACAACAGCTACTAGAAGTAGTAAGATGTTGCTGCAAAACAGTTTGTCAAACTATGAAGTGCACTTGAATGCACCCCAGCTTGTGGTGAACGTCATGCTATCACTTGCATGAGCTCACCTACTGAAACAGCATTGATTTGGATGACTTTGCTACTGATGATGATTGAAGTTAGATAAATAGCAATAATTCTTTATCTAGCATTATCATACATTCATAAATTTTATGTAAATAAGATACATAAAATAAAAAGGCAGTGCATGCTGTTTTTGTTCTTTGGAAATAATTACTCAATATTATGTTATGAAGATATCACTTAAGCAGTTTCATAATGGAATGGCTGTCATTAAATATGTTAGGAAATATCTTTTTAAATTTTTGCAAAATTATCCATTCTAGTAATAAAAGCATGCCTAATGTATACATAAATAAGGAAACCATATTCAGCAGGCTGTACTCAAAGCACAATGGGCTGAATACAGAAATATGCAAATTTCACATAGTTTGCCAGGGTTTACCTTGGTAAACTTGTGATATGTTGATATATGAACCTTAATAAAATGCACTGTGAAAAAAATATTATTATTCCTTTCATTTTGACCTTTCGACCCTAGTTTTCTTATACTATTACTCACTTAAAAGAAAAGAAACTTTATCAAAATTCTAAGAAATCATTACAAAGGGCAAAGAGCTTCATGATTAAATATTAAAATAATTTTAAAAAATCTTCTGTAATAAAAAAACAACTGTTTTTTAAGTTAGGAATGTAGGTAAAACTAAAGTGTATGACAAAGTTGCTTTACTTGTAAATTTACATAAAAAACAAAGTAAACACAAATAACATTTTGATCTATAGACAAATAATTAATATAGCCAGACAATTAGAAGAACTTACAATTAACTCCATACCGAGACACAATTATAGGCTACAATGTCTTACTTATCCACTACAATATTTTAACACTGTTATATTTTTCCAGAGATTATTCATTACAACAAATTAACCCAAAATATTTTATGACAGACAAAAAAAATAATGACTATTTAAAACAAAGATAACTGTTGTGATGGTTGCAGAACTAATTTTTAAATTAAAAACTTGAAATATTTATCAAATAATCCTTTTTTTTTCAGTTTAGCAAATATTCTTATTGTATCAATGTAGAAAGTACTTACTGTCTCATTAAGAAGGGTTTCATTATCAAAAATGGCCATATGGGGTTGCTGAATAGCTTGTAGAGATGTTCCCACTACTGTGACACCTCGCCCACCACTGAAATATTCATTTTTGTGAGTAAAATAAAATAAAAATACAAGAACTAACCATAGTTTTTAATTTTGTTTGTTTGTGTTAGGGCAAAACCACATTGGGCTATTTGCTGTGTCCATCATAGGGAATCAAACCCCATAATTTGCTTATCAGTACTTTCTCCTGAAAGTCAAATTAATTGATATTGTAGCATGGGCTAATAACCATGACACAAATGCATAAAATACTATCTGATTATTTGATGTGTCTATTTCAACCTTGAGATCCTGGTTACGATATACCACACGTTTTACACAAAACTGTTCCCGGTAGTTCTTGAATTATAACTGAAAAAATCTTTAATTACGAGTTTAAGTAATTTACACTGTGACAGAGTACCTATAGAAAAAATAAATATCTAATTCTTCTTAGGTACATTACTTTTCAAAAGTATTTGCTAGTATGCACAATGCCATACCTAATGAAAACTTAAGGCCTTGAACTAATTAATCTGTACCAAGTTGACTTTTCCTCAAATTTAGGAGAAAACATTCTTCCTCCAAGTGATAATAAATTATGTAAAAAAAAAAAACACGATGATAGTGTCTGTAAGAAAATCATATAAAATAACATATGTGAGTACTGCATACAAAAGGTGAGGAGAAAAAATCTATAATTTACCTGACAAAACTTTTTAATGGGTATATTCTGAGGATCGTTGGATTAAAAGTGTATATAAAAGGATCTGGCAGGGTAAGAGTAGCATTGTCAATTATGAGAAATAGCATCTTGACACTGTAGTTCGGTGAAGGAGCTCTTGTGGTTCGGCAGCTGACTTGGCTGTTGCTGGCTAATGTTCTACAGAAAATAATATTCTTACAATGAACTGAACACATAACAATGTAGGTTGTACAAAATGAAAATTACCAAAGTGCATGACAAACTAACTTTTTGATGTTTCATTGAATATTACCACCAAGAATATCAGGGTATTAAAGGTGAAACTGAGCAACTAAGAAAAACTCTGTATCTATAACTAGAGATATATAATGTCACACTTACTACCTCCGAGTAATAATATAACTTTCTCCTATACACTACTTGATGCTAATCAAATAAAATCTTTAATCTACCTCTACCTATAGAACTGTTTAATACAATATGTACTTAATAGTGCTAAATTTATAACTACCAAATAGTTAAAAATTATTTATAAAATAAAATGAACAAAGACATTAACATGAATACTCTTTAAATGAATAAAACAAGAAAACAAGAAAACATTTTTTTTATGCTTTGCAATGCTAACTGGAGCATATAAAACATACTTTTCTTAGATCAAACTTTAATAACAATATATTAAGTCATCAAGAAATTAATGTTGCATTTTGGTACACCCCCTAAAAATTATTAATTATTATTATTATTAATTAACCACCCCCTAAGAAATGTACATCACATATAATAGTTAAATGAACCACCTAAACATTGCGTTAGTTTAGTATACTCTAATCCCTTATAGTGGTGGCACACGACAAGACAGACAAGACACACATTCGGCATATAATGCTGTTTGAATACAAGAAGGGAAACAACGCCTCTGTAACCACAAAGAATATCAAAGAAGTTAATGGAAATGTTTTGAACGTTTGTGAGTGTCAACGATGGTTCAGCAAATTTCGTTCAGGTGACTTTAGCCTTAAAAACTGTGTTGGAATTGATATTGATGCGCTGAAGATGCTTGTTGAATCTAACTCAAGGCAACACACTCGTGAAGTGGCCCTGAAATTGCATGTCTCTCATGAAACAATATGTAAACATCTAGGGAATATGGGAAAACTCCTTAAAGAAGGTGTTAGTGTGTTTCACAAACTCTCCAATGATTATCATTTCCAATGTGTAAACATTCCTTCATCTCTTCTGATGCCTAATGTGCGTGAACTATTTTTGGACAGAATTGTCACCAATGACGAAAAATGGATTATCTGTGCAAATATTAAATGCCAAAAACAATGGCTCAGTCCTACACAAAAACCACTTCTGACCCCAAAACCTGGACTCCATCTGCAGAAAGTGATGCTTTGCATTTGGTGGGACATCATAGGAGTAATTCATTTCGAACTCCTCAATCCACAGAGAACTGTCAATGCAGAGATCTACAGTCAGCAACTGGAACATTTAAATCAAGCCCTTCATCAAAAATGCCCTTCCCTCATCAATCGGAAAGGTGTTCTTTTTCTCCACGACATTGCACGTCCACATGTGGCACGTTTGACGTAACACAAAATTATGGAGTTGGGTTGGAAAGTTCTCACCCACCCACCATATTCTCCAGATATGGCACCATC